TGTTCTGCTCCCCACTCTGTCTCTGGTGAAGCTTCTCATCACCCCTGCACCTCTGGCTTGTACCCCAGTTCTGTATGCATAAATAAATAAATCTTAAAAAAAGTTAGCTATTCATATACCCACTTGTACTCCCTTGTCAGATTCCTATGGCTCAGCCATTTGACTAAGCATAGCTAAGATGAGCAGTCAGCACTCCTGGGCACCCACTGTGCGCCAGGCACTGTGCTAACCTTGAGGCCACCCTCCCAAGTAGGGAGCTGAGATCCCAGTCTGTCAGACAGATGAGCTGAGAGCTCAGAGGTGAATAAACACACCCAAGGTCATACCATGAGTCAGGAGGGGCCCACCAACCCAGAACTATGGGTAACTATGCCCATCCTCCAGCTTGCAAGAAGTGCTCCCCATGTTCCACACAGCAGCCGAGTGCCCACAATGCACACAGCAGGCACCCAATTCCTATTTCCTGAAAGAGCATTATTCTTACAGATGAAGGAACTGGCACAGGAAGGAGCAACATTACAGCGAGGGACAAAGCCAAAGTCCACGGCTGGATACTCCTGCTCTAGAACCAAGTACCTGACCGCAGCCACACGGCCACTGGGCACCGGGCACCCACAGCTCACAGCCAGCAGCAGTGCTGCATCTGAGTGACTACTCTGCCCAGCTCTGCTCCAACAGCTTCCCAGGACAGAACTTGACAGAGTGCTCCAAGAATCACATGGGGGGGTTCATCAGTGACAGTCACGGAAAAGGCCCATCAACAAGACTGGGACCCCGGGAAATGGCTTCTGCAAGAAGGGTCCCCGTCCTCAGATGACACAGTGAAAAATAGAATCTGAGGTGGCAGCTGGTCTTGGCACTCAGGTTACTTGCGCATTCTGGTGGATGGGGGACATCGGCCTCTTAGTCTGTCTTCTCCTGGGCTCTCCCTGTGCAGGACATACACATGGGCAGACATGGGCCCCAGAACTCGGCTATAGCTCATGCCTGGGCAACCCAGCCTGGAACCAGCCCAAGCCACCCCCACTCTAGGGACAAAGAGGCTACTGTCTGTCTCTGGGTCCTTCCCCAAAACCTCTTTTTTCCCTCTGTTCCTATGCCCCTCCTCCTTCCACTCCTGTGGGCTCGGCAAGATATCACAAGGTTGAAAGTGATGGGTCACAAATACAGGACTTATCAGGAGCATTCAGGCGGGGTGCTAATTTTCTCTCCCGGGGTCTAGCTGCAGCCCATCACCACCCCAGCAAAGCACCAAGGCTAAGAATACCACTCTGGAGCCCTATCCTTCCTTGACTGTGTGTTCCTGGACAAATGCCCTCCATGCCTTGGTTGGCCCACACATAAAATGGGGTTAATAGGCACCCCTTTTAACAGGGCTGTGAGCATATTAGGCCATGCCCTAGTACACAGAGAGAATTATAAAGTCTATATTAGCCAGTCACTGCTGTGTAACAAATTATCCCAAACAATAAACACTTATCATCTCATAGTCTATGGACTATGGGAGGGACTTAGCTGATGGTCCTGGCTAAGGGGCTCTTGTGAGGCTACACTCTTAGTGTCAGTGGAGCTCCAGTCATCTCAGTTTCACCAAGAGACAGTTCACTTCCAATTCACTCACATGAGCGTCTCCATGTGACCGATTACATCATGGCAGCAAGCTCCCCACCAGAGTAAGTGAGCCAAGAGAAAGTGCCCAAGATAGAACCCAGTCTTTTAAATTATCTAATCTCAAATGTGACACCCCATCACTGTCCTCACTATCATCACTAATGTGTACCTGGAAACTGACTTTAAGTATACTGATATATAACGAAAGCAGGTGCTTGGAGTAACATCAATGCATTGTCAGCTAGAATTGTATTTTTCTCAGCAATGTTATAACAAAATGACATTATTCAAAGATCTGCTGTACTGAGTTCTATTCACTAGCAGTGAGTGAGTCAGAGGTCCAGCCCACATGCCAAGGGAGGTCATCATACAAGGACATGAAGACCAAGAGTTCGGACCGTCTTTGAGGGTGCCTCCTACAGAAATGTGTAAAGCTCTGTATCAGGGACTCAGAATAGACTCAGCTCCTCCCATGTCCCCCCAGGAAGACAGCCTGGCACAGATCCCCACTGTTCCATGGGGCAGAGTGTAAGGGAGAAATGGAGCTTGGGTGAGCCCATGGGGTAGGGCAGGCCAGGCCAATCAACAAACATGGCCCATATTCCTGTTGTACCACCCTGAGCTGGGGCCAGAGCCACAGTAACATAAAAGTCAACACAGGGTCTCTCGTGTATCAGGGTGGAGGGAACCCAAGGATCAAAAGGCAAGAAAGCAAACACACAACAGAATTAGAAATGATGGCTATAGGTCAACCTTTGGAATGACTGGGTTCAAATCCTGTTCCCATGACTTATATGACCTTGGACATGTGACATAACCACTCTGTACCTCAGTTTATCTCTAAGATGAAAATGAAGATTCCCCACCTCATGATATTCTGGAAGGACTCAGGGAGACATCCGATAAAGTGCTCAGCACAGTGTTAGGTGAGGAGGGGACACTAAGTAAATATTGGCTATTATTAGAGAGCAATAACTGGTGGGTGGGTCTATGGAGACTGGATGTCAGAAACAGACTCTTTGAGATGATATTTAAGCAGCCACAGCAGGACGAAAATGAACAGGAAAGAGCAGTCCAGGCGGTGGCAATAGCAGTACAAACCCTGTATACAAACAGCAAGGAGGCCAGTGTAGCTGGAAGAGTGACAGGGAGAGGCTTCAGGGCATTCACATGACCTAGGTTCTAAGAGGGAGAAGGAGCAACGAGGATGCTTCAAGGAAAACAGCAAAAAGGGTCCCCCAGCGAGACAGCAGGATAAAGAAGCACCAGGTAAATTAAAGGAAGTCAGGTATCCCAGGTGGCAGAGGGAGCAGCCTGTGAAGAACATGAAGAGCTGATTCAGGGACTAGGTGGGCCAGTTAAAGTGGTGAATGGCAAATGGGCAGGAGACAGGTTGGGATTTCAGTGCCCAGTTGGAGGCTGAGTCTCCAGTACAGGAGGTTCGGGAAGAGGGTTGGATTGTGGAGTATGTGTACAGAAGATGAAATCAGATCTGTATGTCAGAAAGCCAATGAGGGGTGGGGGAAGCAGTAGCAAAGAGGGCCAAGGGGAGGGGGAAGGATGAATTCTAACTTGCAGGGAAGTTTTCCCAGCTCCACACGGCTCCTACTGCTCCCAAGCCTCAGTTTCTTCATCCTTACAGTGGGTTAGTCCCTCCAGGTCCAAAGGAAAAGGAGCCTGTGAAGTCAACAAGCCTGGCCACTTGGAGATTCATTTGTTCTGACAGGGCCCAGCACCTTAGGAGAATGCTATAATACCTGCACAATAAACCAGAATCCCTCCTCTTCCCCCACAGCGAACTCAGTCTCCAGAAATTCCCAAACAAATATTGGAACATCTGCAGAGCCATGGGGGTGTGGGGAGAAAACAAGAATTGGAATATGTGGTGACCTCACCACAAATTCCAAACCCCCTCCAAAATCCCACACAGAAACCACATTCAGAGAGTTCCCCAGCTCCACAGAAGCCTACAGATGGCCATGAAGAGGCAGACACCTCTCACAGATCTTAAAAATCCTGAACATACTCCCAAGAAGCCCCTTCATCCCTCCTAAAGAACCCTAAAGAGGATTCTGTATCGGCAGCCCCCAGAAACCAACAGATAGCTCCTGGGGACCCCCCACCCAGAGTTCTTCAAGAGCCTCCAAAGGTCTCCCGGTCATCCAGACCCACAGACTCCAAATTCCAGTTTCCCAATCCGCCCCCCAACTAACTGGAACTCCTACCAGCTACCCACGGCTCCCAACTTTCTGTCCAGTCTCCAGAGGCTTTCCAAGGAGCCCCAAGAATCTTGAGACCTACTCCTTTCCCTCCAGAGACCTTCACGCTGACTCAGAGCCCCTCAAGCCCGTCACTCCTTCAGGTCCTTAGCCCTAGCCCCAGTCTTCAAATCCTCACTGCCCAAGCCCTCCCAGCACCCCTTAAGCCGCCCCAGGAGCCCCCTTAGATCCGCCCCCAGGGTTCGCAGCCCCGCCCCCTATCCCAGCCCGGGGCCCGGAATGTACTCACAACAGGTCCCGCTTAGCCGTCTTGCAAACGATGCGCAGGAAACGCCAACCGCCGCCGGCCACGTACACTCCGAGGGCTGCCGCCGCGCTCCAGGTCCACGGCAGCCCCAGCAGCCACAACAGCACCAGCGAGGCCACGGAGGCCGCGCCCGCACCCGGAGCCCGCATCCTGGGGACGCCGAGAGCGCTGAGGACGCGGGCCACCAGGCCCCGCCCCGTGCAGACTCCGCCCCCAGAGCACCGCCCACTGCTAGCGAAGACTCGCCCCTCCTCAGGCCGAAACCCCGCCCCCACACCTGGGATTGGTCATGTCCTAGGCAGGCTCCACCCACAACATTCCTGCTCCTAGCCACGCCCAGACTTCGCTGCCATTTATGCTAAGGCCACGCCCCCAGGCTCATCTCGTTCCTAAGTCCATCAATTATTGTCAAGCCTTCACCTAACTGATGTCCTCCCTCACGATTTGGTCCCCAATTCCGTGTCCCTCCTCGTGCCTGACCACAAACCCAGGCCCCTCCCGGGGCATCGCCCCGACGCCAGGCCCTGGGTCCGTGTCCAACTGGCCAGCCATAGGTCGTGGGCTTTCCTCCAGGCCCCGCCCTCTCCGAAGCGGACCTCTAGGTTAAGCCTTGGTCCCACCCATAAGCAAACACCCCTCCCATTCTTAACAAGGCTCCGCCCCCACATCAAGCCCCGCCTCCATCATCAGCTCTTTGGCATTCCCTGGCCCAAGTTACACCCGGGTCACGGGCCTTGCCCTCAAGCTTTGGCCTAGTCACCACCCCTAGGTCTGATTCCCGCAGCCCTAACGTCTAGGCCCCGCCCCACCTGCCCTCCCAGCCCCGCCCTGAGGCCCTCCTCCAACCAGTCTGGCTCTGAGCACCTCAGCCGCAATGCCAAGGGCCGCCCCCTTCCGGAGGCCACGACCATAGAGAGGGCTCCAAGGCCAGAGAGACAACTGCCAACGAGACTCGGGGACTAGAAGTGCCCGGCTGTTTGTGTCGCGTCTCCATGACAACTAAACTTCGTTCCCGCCCACTTATACAGCTCTCAGCTGCGCTGTTAGAAAACACGTGCGCCCCGCAACCGAGGGGCGTGGCTTGGGCGCTCAAACTAGCAGCGCTATCTGGCATTCTAGATCCCTACCCTGAGGACTAGAAAATCACAGTACTGTGCTTTTGCCCCAGCTTGTAAACCCAAGTCCCAAAGCCTCTAAGATACTAAAAAAAATAATTCTAGGGACCTGGAGTCCTGAACCCAAAGGCTAGGAGCCCCAGAAAGAACTAAATTCAGTGTTAAAAATACATTATTTCAAGGACAGCTAGTCATAAGTGCATACAAAAACATTGTCAATTTAAATGCCATAACCCAAGGAACTGGGGAGCACAAAATCCACACACCAGATACCCAGCCTACCTAGATCAGTCCATGTGCACCCCAATGTGCCCCGAAACACCCTCGTCCTGTCCAGGCATAGGCCAGCACTAGCCTGCCTGCCCTTCACCCTGATTCAGCTGACCTAAAGCCTCCACAGACCCTGTGTCTTGGCTGTTCTCACCGGATCCCAGAAGCTCAGGCAGATGAGAAGGAAATGGCCAGGTTAAGGAAGAAGATGGACTTCAGGAGCCTGTTCCTTCAGGCCCCAGGGACTGCTTGCCTGTGCTATGCCCACGCGGCCTCTGCCTTCTATCCCTTCCTGCTCCCCCTTCCCAGCCCATCCCCTGCTTGTTTTCTGCCCCGGTTGGCCGACCTTTCCAGCAAGCTCTCCTTGGGAGGCAGCCAGGGCCGGCATCCAGTGCCATTTGGAAGGCAGGGCTGGGCAGGCCCACAGCCCCCACGCTACCATTGGTCCCTGCAGGCTGCTCCCGGTGGGTGGAATGGAGGGCTGAGGCGGCAGATCCGGAGCCCAGGCTCAGAGCCAGTCAAGGGGCGGCTTCTTTCCCTGCCCCGAAGTCAGTCCAGTCAGCAATGACCAGTCACTAACAGCCTTGCACATCTTGCTAGGTAGCGTTACAATCACCCCACTTTACAGGTAGGGAAACTGAGGGCTAGGTAGGACCAACACACCAGCTGGGTATTGAGATGGTTACAAAAGTGTGCTGAAAGATCGTCCTTCCTCCTCCTCCTTCCTCTCCTCCTCCCTTTTGCCCTGATTTCACTCCTTTCCCAGCTTCCTCCACCTCCCCCTCCCTGGGCCCCTTCCCTCTCCTTCCCTCCTCCTCAGTCTCTATTCTCCCTCCCATTTCCCCTCCCCTTCCTCTTAACAATTGACCTCAGCTATGTATGTTAAACTCACAACTCTCCCCACAACCCCAAACCTCAAAGTTTCAAAAACTTTAGTACCAGAACTCCAATGCACTGTATTTTCCACCTCACCCACCCCAAGGCATTTCAGTGGTTTATTAACCCTTTCTGTGCCTGCTTATCCTTAATTTTCCCCTTTTTTACTTAAGGACTGGACTGCTCCTATCCTGAAGAAACCAAGCAATATACAGCATCTTTGGCCCTCAGTTACCTTCCTGGATGTGTGAAATCTCCAACTGCAAAACAACTGTATAACTGTCCACTGAATTCTGAACACGAGACAGCCCTACTCTTCAGTTTATTTGTAAAGTGTTTACAGTAGTGCTACCTGCTGTCAAGAGTTAGATTGCTCCTCACCAGCTGGTGACCTCTGCCTCTCCTTGCACCTCAGCACTTTCCCTTCTGCCCCTAGATTGCCCTCAGGTGCTAACAGCTGGGGTGCTTTATCCTTCCCTATCTGTGGACCATCCACCTGATGAAATCGACTCCTCTCATGAGGAGTGGAGAATGGATGGGCCAGGCACTCAGTAAGTGTGGAGAAGGGTCTTTGTGGGTGTCCTTCCCCAGGCTGACTGCAGAGTTTACAGTCAGAACTTTGGGCCACAGCAAAGGGAGTTGTCAGTTTTCTGGAACAGGAGAAATAGGCAGGGTCCTTCAAGGCTTTTCAAGCCTGACCACAGACCACATCTCTTATCTCTGCCTGCCTGTCAGGAAGGACACCTGCCATAGGATTTAGACTACTTAGGTAATCCATACCTACAGTTGGATTTAGCACTATCTAGGTAATCCAAGGTGATCTTGTCACAATGTGAAATAGGTTGACTGACTGTGGGTCAGCACATCCACCCCCCCACCTCCCCACCCCCGCATGAGACCCAACTGCAGGCAAACACAAACAGGTTAATCAATCAAGGGTTTATTTACAAAAGAAGGGGAAATTAAGAAAGTAGTAACAGAGAGAAAAAAAGCCTAACTGGTGAATGTGTCCTACCAGTTCTGCTGAACTGGGACCCCAATAGCACGCAGAAAACCAAGGATGAGCAAGACCCACATGCCTGGCTATATACCAAGCCTGGCTGCTTAACTCCACTCTCAGTTCCCAGCATCCTCCCTTCGATGATGACATTATGGGATTCATAGTCCTTCTTAGTGTCTTGAATCTCTCAGGTCTGGGCTAGAGGTCATAAACCTGTCTTGGAGTTTGTTCAGGACATCCTCTCCAACATATTCCCCTTTCATTTTGTCACCATTTCTATGGTGATGAAGGTCAAATGTGGGGATGCTGGGGTGCAGCCTCAGATAGTTGAGTTTTCAGGGCTCCAATTTGGAAGAACAGTCAGTCACCAGGCACTGTTCAGTGTGGCAAACAAAAGTCCTCCATTCCTGGAAAAGTTCATCAGTCCATGCCAAAAGAAAAACATCTGGAAGCATTAGCCAAAACAGCAAATGTCAAATTACAGTAAGAAAAATCTTAAAAATTGGCTTGACTTGAACACAAGTTCTCTCCACCTTGATCCCAATTTTACCCAAAAGTATGGCAAAACATTTGCAAGCTAAATTGACTTTCAGTCCAATTTACCTATTTTTGCATAAAATCATAGGGCAGAATAACAGCAATTTTAGTAGGCTTTGTGGGAATACTCCACATATGATGAGTGAGCTCTAGAAGCCCCATCAGAGCAGGCTTCAGGAACAAGGTCCTTTTGTTTTCTTACAAGAACTGGATGGAGTACAGGCCAGAGGTGTGGGTGGGGGGGGGGGCAAGATGATTCACTTGAGACCAAGTTAAGAGCAGAACAGGCAGGTCAACGGAAATACACTGCTACAGGGAGCAGTGGGTGGGGGTCAGGAGCTCTGTGGTGCCATGTGGGTCACCTCCCTGACCAGGGATTGAACTTGTGCTGACATGGCTTCTGATAGCTTCATAACGCTGTACTTTAACCAGCTGCACCACCAGGGAGGGCCAGGAACAAGATCATTCTTAGCAGATTTCAAGTTTCCTCTCCTGCAGGTTACTAGGACTTTCTTTTTCCCAACTGTTCAGTCAGTCCTGGCCCAGAGGCAAGCTTCTCACCTTCTCACTATTGAAGCCAGACTGTCACTTGGGGTGCAGACTGCAGAATATAAGGGACTGCAGAAGCAGCCCTGGCATTCAGTGTTTGGGATTCAGCAGTTTTTACTCTTCAGCAATTCTGTCCCCACCATGAAGATCTTCCAGAAGGGTGATGTGGGCCTCTGAAGGAGGTGAAGGCCTCCCAGCAGCCAACCTCAAAAAGCCTAACTTTGGAGGCTTTGCAGGTAGCCAAGTAACTGAAATTGTCCTCGATTTTGCTGGTGTTACAGCCTGGCAGGGAACCTCGCTGAGCTGCCATGTGAATATAGCTATCACGTCTGTCAGGTCTTCAGCTGCTGCCACAGCTGCTATTTTTTTAACCCCAAGATTTATTTACACACAGAACTGGGGTCTAAGCCAGAGATGCAGGAGGTGATGATGCACCAGAACAGCAGGAGAGACAGGAGAGATCTTGCTGTGCCATGTGGGTCAGCTCCCTGTTGGGGAGCCAACTCTTGCTACAGTGCAATGCCTGCAGATACTGAGAGTTGAGACTTTGACCCCTGTGCCACCAGGGAACCGCTGCTGTTGAGTTGTCACTTGTCTGGTGCTGTGCTGGGACATCTCAGCAGCTCCAAGGTGTGTCTTCTGTTGTCTTCGTTTGAGTTAGAGCCCGGCCTAGAATCTGGCTGCCTCATGCTCCAGGTCAGCAGAGGCAGGGAGATGCCATCTCTGGAGTGTGTTTAAGGACCTTAAAAGCCCTGAACACAGCTTTGGGTGAGGTAAAAGCCATTTTTGGCGCCTCAGTAACTGTTTTCCCTTGTTGTTAAATAAATCCCATTATCGTCCTCTGAACCTGAAGTCTTGCAATTGTGTGCATAGTTGAAGAACTAAGTGGCTGATGAACTATTTCAGCAATGTCCTGGGCCACTTTTGGTGCCCCTGCACCGTATCAATGTTGGAGGCCTCTGGAATGCTACAAACAGAGCCACAACTTTCTCGGGGAAAAAAAAGTGAAACACCTATCCAATTCTCTGGTTTAAACACACAAAATTCCCTATTGAAATTATGCAAAAAATAGATTCATTGCCACAGTAGTAAAAATTACTGCCACTTTTTCATTCTATGTTGGTATCAAGGGGAGAGAAAATGCAAACACAACATAACTTTGCTTAAAAAATGCAATATTGCTGCAGACCCTGGTCAGTTAAATCAAGGAAACTGAGGAAAAACAAAATGAAAAAAAAAATCACCAGTATTATTTGAAACAGAACTTAGCAAATAATCAGATT